ACCAATTTTGTAGCTTATACTATTACGTTTCAGAACAAGGCTTCTCCTCCATCCCCTGCTGTAGTCAGAGCACAGGCTGTGGCACCAAGAATTTCCCGTGACAAAGCTGCATTTTATGCGTATGGATTTTATGGGGCACAAGATACCCTTTATGACAATAGTCAGAGGCATTATTTCAAAGAATGCTTCATCCAAGGATACATTTATTTCATTTTTGGAAATGAAAGACCACTTTAGTAGAAAAATAAGTTTCAAGTGGTCACAGCGTAGGCGAGGAACTCAACAAGCAAGAATTTGAGATTCTCTTTCATGAATTGCAATGTTAAACGTAGTAGTAAAGTGTGGCTAGGACAAACTTGAGGGTCGTATGCTATAGTGATTTTCTCAACGACAACCATGTTGAATATCATCTTTTCGATGTAGAACCCAAAAAAATTATCAAAAAATATACAGGAGATATATTTCATAAAATCAATATATATAGAGAGGTAATTTACACACAAACAAATATGTGTGGGAGGAGATATATTTTATAAAATCAATATATATGTGGAGGCAATTTACACTCATACAAATATGTGTGGAGATGTGGAATAAATATTAATAATATGTCATTAATGAGATGTGGAATAAATATCAACAACATGTCATTCATCACACATAATAACAAAACTCTCAAATTTCACTCTTCTCAACTAAAAACAATAATATGACACCTTATTTATAGACTAGATGACTTGATAAGCAAGTCTTATAATCATACGAAATTTTCAAATAAGATACTAATTTCTAAACCAAAAAAACTATCATAACTTGACTCCAATGGAAATACTAAAACCCTAACTTGACTAAAACACTACTATATAATAATATGGAAATTTTTAATTTTGAATCTTGATTTAATATGCCAACATTTCCTTTTTTAAATCAAGCTCGCTCTTGGATCAAATTCATTACTTTCATGATCAATAATCTCCCTTAATTTTTGCTGCTGCAATATTTCGCGTACTAGGACAGATTTATCTCGTCGCTCAATTTATTTTTTACTTGTGAAAATAATCCATGCTTCTGAATAGACTGTTTTCGTCGCCCAATTTGATGTCAACTTATTGACAATTTACTTTGTGATTTTCATAATTACAATTCAACTGATAGGATTATTCTCCGATCATTCTCTTCACAACCACAATCAATTTGACAATTCTTGTGGACGAATCTTATTGTCCAATCCTCACAAACTAGGCATTCCACGATCATCCTTGTTGTCTAAGTTGATCAACTAATTTTTTCGTAGCAATTTTTATCCTCTAACTCCTATAGCAAAAACATCCACAATTTTTATACTCTAACTCTGATGGTGAAAAATATTCACTACAAATCTTGTAATCGGGGTAATTTTTCAATGTTCACAAGTACCCCAAAATCAATTTCTTGAATTTAGGGCTTTGATACTGGATGTAAAAGTCAAAAAATTTCAATCAAAAAGATATAGGAGATATATTTCACAAAATTAAGCAATTTACATACATATAAGTATGTGTGGGAGAAGAGTAATAAATATCAATAATACATAATTAAGCACATAAAAACAAGTCTCTCAAATTTCACTCTTCTTAACTAAATACAATAATATGACTACCTATTTATAGACTAAATGACTTGATAAACAAGTCTTACAACCATGACAAATTTTCTAATAAGATACTGATTCCTAAATAATAAAACTACCATAATTTGACTCCAATAGAATTACTAAAATCTTAACTTGACTAAAACACTACTAAATAATAATATGAAAATTTTTTAAAGCACTACTAACGTAAGATTGGTTCGAGAATTGTATTGTTAATATATTAAGAGAAAAGTAGTTCAATTGCTTCCCAAGGCTGTCCCCTATATCTCTGTGTCTCGCCAGCCAACGCAAGTAACTAAAGCATGACTGCTAAAACAACCATCTTATTGTGGATAGCGTCCTTTCCCGTTCTACTAGTTCCAACATTGTTTCTCTCTATCTAGCCTATCACTCTCCAATTAACACTATCACTTCTTTCAACGATGATACTAGTAGGTCAAACTTACTTTTGCACGGAGGGTGATCAAGAAAAGCGGGTTTGAGGACTTCATCAACATTATCCAAGAACTTGCACGTAGAATATCTAGACACCATCAGAGTCACAGGAGGATGAAGAAAAGTAAGAAGTATTGTGATGAATCAACATGGAAGTCTAAGCTCATTACTAGTTATGGGGTTTCACTTGTCCTCACAGTAAATCTAAAGGGATGTGAGAATTTCAACAGTGTACAGAAGGTAGTGGATGTTGTTCCTGATTTAAACCTTATTAGGACACTTAGTATAGTTGATTCAGGCACTTCCAAGGAGAAAGTGACGGTTAGTGCAAATAAGACAAAGTTAATAATACAAGGACAGAGTTATTTGAACACGACGATTGCTTAGAATGACACTGCTAATTCGACTTGAGGAACTCAATTCAGCTATACAATTGCCATTTTATCTACCAATTTTGTAGCTTATAATATTAGCTTTCAGAACACGACTCCTTCTCCATCCCCTGCTGCAGTCGGAGCACAGGCTGTGGCACTGAGGATTTCTGGTGACAAAGCTGCATTTTATGGGTGTGGATTTTATGGGGCACAAGATACCTTTTATGACGATAGTCAGAGGCATTATTTCAAAGAACGCTTCATCCAAGGATCTATCGATTTCATTTTTGGAAATGGAAGATCACTTTACAAGGATTGCATGATAAATTCAGTAGCAAAAGAAGTTTCAAGTGGTATTAGTGGAGCCATTACAGCGCAGGCGAGGAAATCAACAAGCGGGAATTCGAGCTTTTCTTTTATGAATTACAGTGTTAAAAGTAGTGGTAAAGTATGGCTGGGACGAACTTGGGGGTAGTATGCTACAGTGGTTTTCTCAATGACAACCATGTCGAATGTCGTCTCTTTGATGTAGAACCCAAAAAATTTACCAAAAAATATACATGAGATACATTTCATAAAATCAATATGGGGAAGTAATTTACACACATACCAGTATGTATGAGAGAAGAGAAATAAATATCAACAATAAATCATTAACCACACATATTAACAAGACTCTCAAATTTCACTTTTATCAACTAAACATAATAATATGACTTCCTATTTATAGACTAGATGACTTAATAAACAAGTCTTATAACCATAAGAAATTTTCTAATAAGATAATAATTCATAAATAATAAACTACCATAACTTGATTCCAATAGAATTATTAAACTGTTGACTAAAACACTACAAAATAATAATATGAAAATTTCTAATTTTGAGTCTTGATTTAATATACTAATAGCTCCTCATTCTAGATGATAAATACTAATTCATAGAGATAACTTTTATTTATAATATGCTTTACCAAGACAAAACACATGGAGAAAACATGAAATGAAGACTACAAGAATACCAGAAAAGGGATTGATTACCTCACTTGACTTGCATTTGCAATATCTGATATTACATATCCATCTTGGTGTAGATGAGGGTGGGTTTAATGGTCCGAAAGCAGGAAAGAGCAACAAAATTGAAAACATGAAATTTTGAAATTGGGCCAATTTATGATTTTAAAAGATCATGGCGAACCAGTACTTTTTATAAATAAAAGAGAAAGGAAAGTTTATGTGGAAAATAATTAATAGTTATTATCACTTTATCCCCTTAACGATTGGTACCACTATCAATTTCTTCCTTAACGTAAATTTTTAATCACTTTGCCCTTAAGACTAAAGATCAAAATTAACGAAGTTTGTTAATTTAAATGAAAAGACATGTTTAGCTCTTACATTTATTATTACTTTACCTGCATAAACTATAGCCTTATTATCAATTTATCTCCAAAGTTATTTTTTAGGCAATTGATCCCACCATTAAACTAATTTGGCAAGTTAAAAAACTTAAAAAGAAAGTACCATACTCTTTGTATAATAAAAACAATAAAGAATTTAGAGTGGTCCTTCTCTTTTTTAGTATTAAAAAAAGTTAGAACATTAATCTCTTTCTTCCTGGCAATCTTATTAATATTGAAAAAAATAGAAAGGTAGGGAGGGAGGAAGAGAGAGAGAGAGAGAGCTTAATTCTTTTTTTTTTTGTAATTTTAAAAACACAAATAAGAAAGAATTCAATATTTTTATTATTTTAAAATTACTTTACTTTTCTATTTACCACCAATTCCAATTCTAATTTTGACAACATTGAAATAATATGATGATAAGATTCTTTTTTTTTTCCTTTTTTGCAAAATCTAATTTTTTGTCTCTTTCTCTCCTATCTCTATTTCTTTTCCCGGTATTACTAAGTGTGAAAAAATAAATTTGAGAAAATTCTTTTATTTTTATGTTTTTGGAACTTTTAGAGTGAAAAAAGGAAGAATAACCACTCCAACTTTTTCTATTTTTAATTATATATTTAAAAAGGTTAAATACATTAAAAAATTTTTGAACATACTAGTTAGATTAAGAATAAAACGGAAGTCTTTTGAAATCAAGTACCGGAGTATTGAGGGTCACATATTGTAAGCCTAGGTTGGAAACCCTTGTGGCTAGGTTTTTTTGGTCATCCTGATGGTGGCCGCTGCGGCGAAGCCGCCGGATGGTGGCGGCCAGATGCATGTTGCCCCTTCGTTTGCGGCAGTAGTTGGCCGTTCCAATGACGAGAATGGGGTAACGCTGGGTGTTGTCTCAACATTCAGAGGTGAGCCCTCTCTTCGTATCTCACGCCAGAAGATTGAGAGATTGGCTGCTCCCTTCCACCAGGCTCTGGTAGGGAGGTTCAGTGCGGGCAGACCCTCCATGGAGGCCATACGAAAATTCTTCGTGACTCTGGGGCTCAAAGGGCATTGATCAGTTGGCCTCCTGGACGAGAAGCACGTCCTGATTAGACCCTTGGTGGACGATGATTATACTCGCTTGTTTGCTCGCAGGGTCTGGTTCATAGGCAAGTCACCAATGTCGCTTTCGAAGTGGAGCATCGACTTCAGGTCTGGTCAAGAGCTTGCAATTGCTCCAGTTTGGGTAAGTTTCCCAGGTCTGCCTATCCCCTTTTTCCAAAGGAATCAGTTGATGCAGTTAGCCTCAACGTTGGGGCATCCCCTCAAGCTGGATGCGGCAACCGGTGATCTTCGCCGGCCCTCTGTTGCGCGAGTGTTGGTAGAGGTAGATATCTCTATGCCCCTTGCCAAACGCGTATGGATAGGGGATGAGGAATATGGATTTTGGCAGCCGGTGGACTTTGAAAACATCCCTCCTTATTGCTCTTTCTGTTCCAAATTCGGTCATCAGCAGGAGAGTTGCTATCGGAGGGATCCTTCCCTGCAGCCTGTGAAGGTGGGGCGGAATTCCTCGAAACTTCAAGAGGCTACTGCGCCTGTCACGAGTTTGGACAAGGGTAAAGCTAAGGAGGGGGAGTTGCGGTCTACGCCTGGAATGACAACAGCGACGTCAGGTATCGCTGGGGCAGAGACTGCTGTGCTGTCGGCACCAGTCCAGAAGCAGTTGTTGCTCCAGGGACATGGGGTGGCAACTTCCTGCGCGATGACTTCCAGGGAGGTGGCGGCAATGAAGGTGCTGGTGGCAGCAGTGCCTGGGCAGCAGGTTGGGGAGGCCGAAGTGGAGGTTGGTACTGCCTCTGACCCTTTGGAGGATTTGGAGGATGAGGGGATGGAGCAGGAGATGGGGCATGCGGCCGCCGTTGTGGATAGTGCGCATCAAGATGTCAGTTGCGGAGGAGTGCAGGACGTGGGGCTGCAGCAGGAGCAGCAGGGTGATGTAGAATTGGGTGGTAGGTTGGAGATTATCTTCCCGCGTGCTATTGTCGCTGATGTGCGAGGGGATGGTGTGGAGAGGAGCAAACCAGATGGTGTTGAGGCACGGTCTATTGCACTTGTGGGAGCTCAGAGGGTGGAGTCCAGCAGTGACGAGGAGGCCCTTTCAGTGGGTTCCCTATCCCCACGATTTGCTACGGAGCTGGTGCGAGTCCAGGATGAAACTATAGTGCCAACAGCTGGAGTTCTTGACAGTTCGGTGGCGGCTTTGAGGAACAAACAAAAAGGTATTCGTGCACATTTTCCTTCTGACAGGCAATTACGTTCTAAATTGATAAATTTGCAGAATTCTCTTCCTGCTTTGTCCCATGATTAAGGGTTTATTTTGGAATGTTCGGGGCATTTCTAAAGCCCCGAAATTGAGAAGGATTAAAAATTGATTCAAATGAACAATCTCTAATTCTTGGCTTTTTGTGAACCTTGGTTGGAGGTTGATAAAGCTGAACGGTATAGACACAAATTAGGTTTTCATGGAGTGGTGCATAACTTGGTGGGCTCGATCTGGGTGTTCTTCCAAGAGCCTTTTTCAGGCTTGGTGGTTGGAGAGAACCCCCAGCATGTGTCAGTGCGACTTTCTCACGATCATGTGCCAAGCTCCCACCTTGTTGTCTCCTTTGTGCATGCGCGGTGTACTCCTGTGGAGAGGTGTGAGCTATGGGAGGGTTTAATGTGGGATAACCCAGGTTCCGCTGCATGGCTTGTGGGTGGGGATTTCAATGTAATTTTAGATGCTGAGGAGAAGAAAGGGGGTCGGGCTTTTAATCCTGGTGAAGCTATGGAGTTCAGACAGTTTATCAATGAGGCAAATCTCACGGATGTCGGTTTTTCTGGGGCTCGGTTTACCTGGTGTAACAATAGACATGGCAGGGCAAGAATTTGGAAAAGATTGGATCGGATTTTGGTGAATGAGGGTTATATTGACACGGGAATGTCATTGGCGGTGTCGCACTTAGCCCGGGAGTCATCAGACCATGCTCCGCTCCTTCTTTCAGTATCAACCAGACTGGACACTAAACCGCGGTCGTTCATGTTCCTTAATGTCTGGACGAGGCACGAGGACTTCTTGCCTATGGTTCAGGATTCTTGGGGGCAGCCGTGCGCTGGCTCCCCTTTGCAAGTTTTCTGTTGCAAATTAAAACAGCTGAGGGGTACTATACGGGATTGGAGTAGGAGGGTTTTTGGGGATATCTTTCAGACAGTTAGGCAAAAGGAAGAGGAGGTGCGGCTGGTGGAGGTCCGTGTAGAAAGCGATGATTCAGATGCTGCTAGGGTGCATTTACATCTTGCCAAAGGTCAGTTGCGGGCGGCCTTGAGAGTGGAGGAGTTGTTTTGGAAGCAGAAGGCTCGGGTTAGGTGGCTTCAGGAGGGAGACCGAAATACAAGGTTCTTTCATTCTGTCGTCAAAAATAGAAGGGTACGTTCAATCATTCACAGGATTAGAAATGGCCAAGGGGAGTAGGTGGAATTAGACGAGAGGATTGGAGCAGAGGCGGTACGGTACTTCGAGGGGTTGTTTACGGATCAGCGTCCAACATCTTCCTCTGATTTGCTTCAGCATATTCCAACAATTTTGACTGATGAGGAGAATGATTTGCTGGAGCAGTTTCTCTCTGAGGTGGAGATTCGAAGTGCGGTGTTCGCGATGGATGGGGAGAGTGCACCGGGGCCGGATGGATATACGGGTAAATTCTTTACGGTAGCATGGTCAGTTGTCGGTGCGGATGTGGTTAGCGCAGTGTGTAGTTTTTTCTGCGGGGCTGAGTTGCCTCGTGCTGTTACAGCGACCTCCATTGCACTCATTCCTAAGGTTGGGCACCCACAGGATTTTTCACAATTCCGGCCGATTAGCTTGTGTAACTTTGTTAACAAGTTAATTTCGCGAGTTTTGGCGGATCGCTTGGCCCAAGTCCTTCCAAGGATCATATCCCCACAGCAGAGTGGATTTGTTCGGGGGCGGCTTATATCGGATAATTTCTTGCTTGCACAAGAGTTGCTCTCTAATATGGGGAGGACCTCCAGAAATGCCGATGTTGCTCTGAAATTAGATATGTCAAAGGCTTATGACCGTGTTTCCTGGATTTTTTTGACAATGGTTTTGAGAAGATTTGGATTTAGGGAGCAATGGATTGATAGGATTTGGAGATTGGTCTTGAATGTATGGTTTTCGGTTCTAATCAACGGGGCCAGTGTGGGTTTCTTTAAGTCTATGCGAGGGCTTCGTCAAGGGGACCCATTATCCCCAGGATTGTTTATTATTGGTGCGGAGGTGCTGTCCCGTTCTTTAAACAAGTTAGTGGAGCATCGAGAGTTCAAGTGCTTTTCAGTTCCGCGGGGCTGTCCTAAGATCACTCATCTCAGTTACGCAGATGACGTCCTGGTTTTTTCGGGTGCTTCATCCTCTTCGCTGAGATGTGTTATGCAGACAATTGAGAACTATGAAGCAGTTTCGGGACAGGAGATTAATGTTCAGAAGTGCGGGTTCATGGTGCATGCTAAACTGCCTAGTCAATGTGTGGCAAGGGTTCGACGGGTAACTGGGTTTGGTCTTAAGTCGTTTCCCGTGCGTTACTTGGGATGTCCGCTTTTTGTGAGGCGCCGGAAGTGCCTATATTTCATGGAGTTGGTACAGTCAGTCATTTCTAAAGTTTCATCATGGAGGTCCAGATTTTTATCCAATTGGGGTCGGATTGTACTTATCAAACACGTACTGTCAGCAATCCCAACTCATTTATTGGCAGCTTCATGTCCTCCGAAGGGAGTCCTAGCCTTAGTTGAACGGGCTATGGCAAATTTTCTCTGGGGGGAGCGGGAAGGTGGCCTCCGACGTCATTGGATCAAGTGGGCAGACCTGTGTGCCGACTCGTCTCAGGGGAGGGTTGGTGTTCGGTCGTTATTGGATGTTCATATAGCATTCTCGCTCAAATTGTAGTGGCGCTTCCGTACGGGTGAGTGTTTATGGGCGACATTTATGAGATCCAAGTATTGTCGGCAGAGTCATCCATGCATGGTAGGGGCGGTTCAAGGCAGTTCATATATGTGGAGGCGCTTGCTTCAAATTCGTGAGGTGGCGGAGCAAAACCTTTGGTGGGAGATGCGGTCGGGACAGTGTAATTTCTGGTTTGACAATTGGATGGGTTCTGGTCCTCTGTGTCAACGGTTACAAAGTGTTTTTGATCACTTAGTTAGGGATTTCGTATTGAATGGAAGGTGGAATCAACAGTTGCTGCGGCTTTGGGTTCCTGATGACATAGTCTCAGAGATAGTTACTAAAGTTGCCCCAGTGGGGTCCGCGGACGATCGTGCGGTGTGGGCCTTGACGGAGTCAGGGGATTTCTCTATTGCTTCCACATACGTGCTGCTTGGTAGCCAGACCCCCTCATCTTTCATGTTTGATAGGGTTTGGCACCCTGTAATCCCAATCAAGATATCATTCTTCATGGTAAGGCTGCTACGGGATCGGTTACCGATGGCGTCGTCACTAGGAAGATTGCAAGTGTATGGCCCATCCAAGTGTTTTTGCTGCTTGGCCTCGCAATCTGAATCGTTGGAGCATGTCTTTACGGAAGGTGAGTTAGCTCAATTTTTGTGGACCTTTTTTGGGAATGGCGCTGGAGTGAGTTATAGAGGAATAGGGGTGCGGTCGCGTTTGGCGGCTTGGTGGTGCCAACCGGTTCGGCACTCTCGTATGGAGTCATTACACTCGGTTTTGCCTTGCATTATTTGCTGGCATATTTGGTTGGTACGGAATCTTGCAATTTTTGAAGGGCAGCTCCTGCGTCGACAGACCATTTGTGATCGTATCCTGGCGGATGTTGTAGGGCTATTTTCCAGGAAGTTTGCAGGTGAGTTTACTGGGGTTGGCTCCTGGCCGGCGGTCTACTCCAATATCTCTGGGTGGAGGCCTCGGTATTCCCATAGAGTGGTTTGTTGGGAATTTCCAGCCCAGGGGGTCTTCAAGTTAAATACGGATGGGTGCTCGCTTGGCAACCCGGGCGTTAGTGGCGGGGGTGGTGTGCTTAGGGACTCGTCTGGTGCTTTGTTGTTTGGCTTTTCTGTTCCGTTTGGGGAACTGACATGTCTTCAAGCGGAGATAAAGGCTTTGGTGTTTGGGGTGCAACAATGCTGTCTTCGGGGATTCTTGCGGATTCGGGTGGAGATGGACTCTCTTGTGTTAGTCAACCTACTGGTAAGACAATTGAGGTGTCCGTGGTTAGTTCGGTCGGATCTGGATGCGTTACTGGCAATCCAGGGTTTGGAGTGGACGGTGGGGCATTGTTATCGGGAGATGAATCAAGTGGCGGATGCCTTAGCCAAGGTTGGGGCACAGTCTGAGGGTATTATTTTGTATACGTCACAGTCTGAGTTGCCAAGATTGGCAAGGGGGGCCTTAGGTTTAGATAGGTCACAGACTCCTGCTATTCGTACTCGAGCTATTTCTCACTGAAGCCTGTGTACTTTGGTTTTCTTGCCTTTAATAAAACCATAGTTCTGATAAAAAAAAAAAGTTAGATTAACAATGGGGTTAAACACCTAGAAAAAATAATGTTAGAAAGTAAAGTGATTGAATCACTATAATTGAAAGGGTAAAGTGATAATAACAATGCAGTAATACTATAAAATAAAAGGATATTTTTGTTCAAAATTTATTAATATGCTGAGTTACATCAAGAACTCCTCTCCAAACTTAACATCAAAATAGCCATCATGAGCAGTAAAACCTCAGTCTCCTTTCTTTTCTTCGTTTGCTTCGTGGGTTTGCTCATTAGTGGTATAGCCATAGACTCTGATGCTAAACAAACTGCAGCATTTTATAGCAATTACTTAGCCGCCTATCAAAAGTACGCAGAGAATGTTGCAAGCAAGATGAACAACAATGGCATCCATGACAATGACATCCATTTCGAACTCCTATTTTTTCCTCCCCCAATCTTTTTCCCATTTCCATGGCATTTTCCTCCACTTCCAATTATATCGCCTTTTCCTCCACTCCCTGGCATCGGTGGTTTTCCATTTCCTCAGCAACCTCCACCACCATCTGGTGGTGATGGCAGCAAGAGCCCTCCAAGTCCTCCACAAGGTTTTCCACATCTTCCGTTTCCATGGCCTTTTCCTCATACACCTGCCGCTGGCACTCCTCCTCCATCCGGTGGCAAAGCCCCTCCAAGTCCTCCACAAGGTTTTCCATTTCCTCATCTTCCATTTCCTCATCTTCCGTTTCCATGGCCTTTTCCTCATCCACCGCCACTGGCACTCCATCCGCTCCATCCGGCGACAAAGCCCCCTCCAAGTCCTCCAGCCAAATGTCCTCCTGGGCCTCTAACCAATAAACCTCCGGCTGGCCAGAATTAGAGTTTGATGTGGCTGTTTATTTTAGACTAATAATATAAATGTCTCAATGTTTTAGACTTTAAAATAGAATATTAGTATAGATTAAATAAAAGGTCGTATTAGTATCTATTCTTTTTTTAATAAAAGTTCTTGATTTGTAGAGAAGGCCGTATTAGTATTTGTTCTTTTATTAGTCTACATCAATAAAAGTTATTGATTCGTTTGTGTTGAAAAAAAAATTAATATGCTGAGTTGAATTACCTATAAGGGTAAAGTGACTAAAAGATAACGTTAGGAGGTAACTTGATAGTAGTGACATAGTTTTAAGAGGATAAAGTGATAATAATCCAATAATTAATGAACAAATAACTCACCATCATATCCTTTCAGGAAAAAAGAAAAAACAAATAGCAATAAAGGAAATATCACTAATAATTATTGCCCCGTAATATTATCAAAATTGTTCCATTTCTTTTGTGCTCCACTTAATACTATCTATATAAACTAGCACTCCATTTTGTTTTTAACGCTTTCAATTGGACAAGAATGAGATTGAGATATTGCTTCAAAAGTATTAAGTGTTGCAAAAATTACATACTTATAAATATTGATCGAGGATATTAAGCTATTCAAAATTCACTTGCTTGCTCGATTTGTAAAAAATTGACAAAATTATAGATCCTTCTTATGTACCAATATGAGCTATAATATTGTAGTTTTGGTGACATGTGCTAGACACCAACATAGTCATAGCCAAATTAAGCTTTAATCTTTTGATATTATCTTACAAAAAAAGGAATTTCAATTTGGCAAAAATCATGAAATTTGAGTGGTATGTCATAATTCACATCTTATTAGTTGAGTGGAAAATAAAATTTTCTTAATAGCTAAAGTGCTAATAGGTTTATATAGAGAGAGATAAATAAACATTTAAAACATTTTGAGATAGAGTATAAATTTTTGGCTTTGCTTTCTTCCTAACTTTTATCTCTTTGTAAACTGAACTTCTTTCTCCTTAGCTTTCCTCCCATGAATTATTTTGTTCTTTATTATTGTACTAGAGTCTTTCTTGTGGTTTCCTAATGAGAGTTTGCTTCTCTTCTAAGAATTCCTAAATAATTAAATAACTTAGTACATTAGATACTAAAAAAGTTAAACAAATATATTAATAAAATATATGAAACAACCTATACAAAAATAATTGATTATAAATAGTACCCTTTTTTCAAAATTAAATGAATTAAAACTTTCATATTTATAGTACTCTAAACTAGATATACAAACAATTTCCAAAAATAAAAAGATAATCAACAAAAAAATTTTGGAACAATAATGAAATTGGAAACCTGGTTTGGTACTAATAATTAACTAGGGTCCAAATGCTTTGTAGTTGTCGAATAAGAACTCCTCTCTCTCTTTTTTTTTTGTTTTCTTGTTAATTTCATGTGTTATCAGAGAACCAAAAGTTAAGTGAAGAAGAAGGAAAATGTTAGGTTTTGTTTTCGTCTATTGCAGACAAAAGGAAGACAAAAAGATTACTTTGAGGCACAGGATAGGTATATTTGTTAAAAATCAGGTATAAAAATTTTTTTGGTTCCATTAAGTTTAACAGATTCGGTTATCTTTATAATTTAGTTCAAAGTATGAAGTGTCGTGTTGTACATTTTGAAACCATGGGGAGCTTCTCTGTGTATTAGATTTACCACCGAGGACTTTTTTGTTTTTTACCCTTTTGCCAATAATGAAATATAAATGATCCACCACGTAAAGTTTTTTGAACTTGTAAATTCTAACAATTGAAATTTCATAGATAGAGATAGTTGGGATTTGTCTATTTTCCTTTTCTTTTATTCATATTTTTTAGCACAATCCAATGCAAAGCAAAAACAAGAAGTCTATTTTTTCACGCAAAGCAACAAGTCTTTTTTTCACCCAATCCAATGTAGCTGGAAACCTGGAACAATTCAGATATGCACGCAAAGCATCTTAACCAAATAGAGCTACGAATTGTTAGAGAAAAGTCATCAACCATATCTTTCCCAGAAAATGAGACGAATCAATTATATTCTTCTCTGAATGCTGCCATTATATTCACCCTCCTCCCTCTCTTCTCCTTAAACAAAAGAAACAAATTAAGACTAATATAGGTTTGCAGGAGAGGGAAAGTTTGCTTCCATCTAATTGCAATCAATTGGGTGCATTTAAGTAAAGACTTATCCGTATGAAATTTCCATTGGTGCTATCATAACAAGTCTGGCAATGAACAAAGATAACAAACTTGGGGATGAGAGACGTGCTAGCTTAACGGTACCAAAAGAATTTATGAAGGAAATAGTCTGCTTTTAATCATATAACAAAGAAAGTAAATTTTGTAGTCTTGTTTATGAAGGAAACGCTGCTCTATCTCTAATTCTCGTTTGTTTTTCCAAACACGTCTTTCAAGTTATAGACATTCCGTAGGAAAAACTCAATTTTCTTTTCATATAAAAGAAAGAGAAGAGTAAATGAAGGTTAAGAAATTTGAATACTGGACGCAATATTCAATAATCCCCAGGGACCAGAGAATTTGAATCCGGATTTGAAGGCATAGAGTGACCAATA